CCCGGGGCTGGGTGTGGGCTGTCCGAGCTGGCTGGGTGTGGGGACTGGGTGTGGGCTCCGATCTCTCTCTCCGGTTGAGGTTGTGTTGCCAGATTTCGCCGCCATAATCCTTCCTCTCCCCTTTTGGGACGAAAAAGCAGTTGTCGGGGGATGCTGGAGGCTGTGCGGCTCGTCCTCGCTCAGCCTTCTGCGGGGTCCCCTGATGGCCGAGTTCTGGGGGCCAGCGGGGCCTTGCGCTGATGCATTGGCTCTGATGACGCTGACCTCTTCTTCCAGGGTTCACAGCCATCTACGAGAGCATCGGCTCCCTGCGGCAGGTGCTCGAGGCCAAGATGAAGCTGGACCGGGACCAGCTGCAGAAGCAGATCCAACAGATGCACAAGCCCGAAGCCCCCCTGTGACGGGCAGCGGCCCGACCGGGAGGCGGCGCTGGGCAGCCCAGGCTCTGGGCCCCGCCAGGCTGCTCAGGGCGCGGCTGGGTGCATGGGCCGGGCCGCCGCTTGTCCGGCCGGACGTTCACCTGGAGTCTGAACACACTCTTTCCCTAGCATCTCCAGTACGTTTTTACCACTGTACTTCCCTTCTCTAAATTCAGTGGATGTCCCGCCCTTCAAAAGGCTTTGATCCTCCTCGTTTTATGAATGAAAAGACTTAATTTCTTTCAATGCTCGATGCTCTAACCAAGACTAATATTTTGAAAAAAGTCCCAGTGAGTTTTTTAAGGAGCTGATGAGCTGTTGCAGGAATGTGCTGCTCCAGGCCCCACCAACAGACTGTCCCGATCGATCAGATTCAACCTCAGAGTCCGCATCTGGGCTTTATTAGCGTTGTCTGTGTGTGTCTTCTATTGCTTATTTTCCTGTCAGTCTTCTGTCTTTTCTAAGGGGAAGAGATTTAACACTTGAGGGGAAAAAAAAAAAAAACCAACAAAACCCTGCCATTTCTATAATGAAAATCAATTTACAACCAATAACTGCCATACAGATTGGAAATTAAATGGAAATTTAGCACATCTGGGTACCACAAGGCACAATACTTACATCCACCTAGATATGCCAGGTTTTAATACTGAAAACTATTTTTTAATTAGCCACAACTTGTACAGTGATAGCCATATATTTACTAATGGAATGGCGGTTAGCCGTTCGTTGACTGCACAATTAATTGTTCATTAATCATAGAATGTGAGAATTTTCCAGACTTTCTGACCTCTCTCAGTGTTTCCAAAATCGGCCCAGAGTGCCAGGGCTTATACGCATTGATCGTAACTGTATTCTTGTGCCTTGGTGTGTCAGTGCACTCTACCCTTTAAAATCTTTGCTCACGAGAGAAGGCATGATACTAATTCTGACTTCTCGTGTCAACATGGGAGCCTAGGTATTTTTTAAATGTTCTAGAACACAGCCACTGTTAGGACATGAATCACTCAGTGTCACATTCATGGAATAGGAAGTCGTTCTTTTGTGTGGACAAAGAAACAAGCTGCATTCGTAACCCTGTCCAGAAACCTGCGTCTCGCACCTCTTTGTAGACAGTTTCCGGGCTCCATGTCTGATGAGCCGTTGATAGTGTCAACTCCTCGTGGGCTCCGGTCAGCTGAGCAAGCAGATGGTGAACCCCACCGCGGGGAGTCACGAGGGCCCCCAGGAGGGACGGGAACCCTCGAAGTGTCTAGCTTTTTTAACCACTTTGTTGTTGCTGTTGTTGTGGTTCCATTTGGCAAGGACTCAGGACAATAAAAACATTTTCTATTTTTAGGCTAAATCACAAATGAAACATCTAACTGGCTATTACTGTTTACACCCATGTAAAATGTGCTGCTAGAGAAAAAAAAATTTTCAAAAGAGTTTGGACGTGAGCGGTTATATAAGGCATATGTCATGCCTCACTCGACATCATTTCCTGTTTCTCACCTCGGCATAGTGAGTTTCCATTTAAAGGAGAGGAGCGGGCAGTGCTCTCTTTCAGTCAGAAAGGGGGTTCTTGTGTGGCAGATGGTGTTTCGCGGCGCTCTCTGGTCAGGCACAGTGGCAGGCTAGGTGGCCCCACTGGATCACTTTGCTCTGGGGTCTGAAAGGAGGAGGGGTCAGCATCTGACGCCTGGGAAGAGGGGTAAAGGACCCCAGCTGGACACTGGCCAAGGCGGTGGCGTGAGCGGGGGGTGCCGGACTGTGGGCTGGCATCTCAGGTGTCCGATGTCACCAGTCCTGGGGTACACGCCACCCTGGCTGCACTGAACGCTCCCACCCCGGGAGTTTAAGGAGCCACCAGGTCGCTCACCCCCACCCCACCCCACCCGTCTGGCTGGCACCCTGGGGTGGTGGCACAGGCAGTGGTACGTATCAGCGTCCTGGAGGTGGGGTGACTGCGGGACCCTGTGGTAGTGGAGTCTGCCCCGTGACGCTTCTCACCAGAGTCTAAAGAATCGGCCTTCCTGTTCTTTCCTTTCCCAGAAATTTGCAATAAAAAGAATAAAATGTCAAAATAAGTGTGGTGTATGATTTGCAGAGGTAAAAGGCTTGTGGTGTAAGGTAGAAACTTAATTAGGTAGCAGGCCCTAGGAAATGATCCTTCATCCTCTCAGATGTCCCCAGGACCCTCCCGCCACGTGCCTGCTTCGTCCTGGCCCCCAGCTGAATGCAGAACAGTTCGCCTGCCGGTTTTACAGATGGGAAGACCAAGTCATGAGAAATTAAGCAGCCGCCTCAGTCTGACTGCCGACGGGCGGGTGTGTGGAACACCACGCGGCTGTACCTGAAGGCGTCAAGGTGGTGCGGTTTTTGTACATCTTACCACAGTTTTTAAGAAGAAAGCAAGCTCCCCCTTCGGCCCCGCCCGCCCCGCCGAGCCTCCTGCTGAGTCCGCACCTCGCCCCGAGGTGCAGCGGGCTGGGCCGCAGGGGCTGGGAGACAGCACCTGCTGCCTTGGGTCGCTCAGCGTGGGGCGACGCGTCACACCCCACAGTAGAGCACGCACGCGCTGGCACGAGGGAAGCCTGGCAGAACCGTGCTGTAAAAGCGCCTCCGCCTGTGCAGGTCGCAAGCTACACGCTCCGGTGTTAATCTCATGCAATGCCCGTGATGAGCAGGAGATGCCCTCAGCAACACTCATTAAATAGCGTTGATTTTATCGCTGTTTTTTATTACCCAGGATTGAACCCAGGGCTCTGCATGAGCTATATTGTCAGCCCTTTTTTAGCTTATTTATTTATTGTTTATGTATTTAGTGCAGGGTCTACAGGGTCTTACTACGTAGATCGGACTCACAGTGATTCTCCTGTTTTCAGCCTCCCAAGCGTTGGGATTACTGGCGTGTGCTACCACTCCCAGTCTCAGTCGCCTTCTCAGAACGCCCCGGGGTGGGACCCGCAGGCCGGGCAGCCAACCGCAGTCCCTGCGTCTGCCTAAGCAGGCGCTTTAGTCCCCTGAGCTGTCTGGCCGGCCCTGCACCTTAATTTCTGGGCAGGATTCATGCCCCCAGCACGTTTGTTTCCAGTGCTACGGGTGTGTGGAGCTACCCCGGGGCGCTCCCAGTTTTGCCATGGTAACATTGTGGGGCTTTTTTTTTTTACATGGTGGTGCTGGGATGGGGGCCAGGGCCTCCCGCGTGCCAGCCCCTGCCACGGAGCCAGCCCTGCCGTTTCCTTCTGCAACCCCCACCCATCCGCCGGACGCCCGCAGTGCACCTTTCTTGTCGATTGGCAGGGTGCGTGGGTGGCCCAAGGGACAAGCGCAGCCTTGCTAGGCCTGAGGATGCATAATGGGCGCCTTCCTTCCGTCCCTTTGTGTACCTCGCTTTGATGAATTGCTATAAAAGCACAGTTTGGCTCCAAGAAACGTGGGGCTGCTTAAGCTGCCATACAGATTAACTGGAGTTAAATGCCCCTGCGAGTTCGGTCCTTCAGCGGCGCTGCTGCTCAGTGGTCCCTGTGGTACACGAGGGGCAGAGCCACTGTCCTGTGCCAACGGGGAACGTCATGCTGGACGCCGCTGCTCTGGGACCCAGAAGCCCAGGCACAGCTGAACTGTTTTGAAACTGGACCTTTCCTCCGGCCCCATTCCTACAATGCGCTGTCCACTGTCCTTTTTAGAAACAACATCACAGGATTTTTTTTTTTTTTTTAATCTTTTTGAGACAGGTTCTCACTATGCGGTTCAGGCTGGCCTTGAACTCACTTCTCTAACTCATGCTTGCCCTGAACTCACAATGATCTCCCCTCAGTCTCCTGAGCACTAGGATCACAGGCATGTACCATCATGCCTGGCCACAGGGCTTTATTTATAAGAGTTACCACTCTGCAGGCTGGGGAGATAGCTCAGTGGCATAAGAACCTGCCTGGCAAGCACAGGGTCCTGCGTTTGATCCCCGGTACCATCAAAAAGCAAAAGCAAAGACAAAAAAGAGTTACCACTCTGCAAGACTGACAAGCTCTAGAGATCTGCTGTATAACCCTGGGAAACTACCACAGTTAATGGCCACATGATACCCTGCCAGGTGTCCAGTGTACCTAGAGTGTTCTAGGCCATCCTAGAACATTCTAAAGAGTTTACATCTTCTGTTACCTGGTCTTATTTCTTTTTTCTTTTTTTTTAAGACTTAAATTTTATTTAAATAACCTCCAGTGAGAACAGAACAGACGAATTACTATCACTTCTTCGTGATACCAGTGAGCCAAGCCAGGGAGGGGAAGCACACCTGCAGCCAGCTGCCAGCCAGTGTGATGGGTGGGACCTCAAGGGAGGCGGCCCTGGCCCCGGCCCGCTGCTGGAGGAGTATCCGCAGTGGAGCGAAGGTCCCTGACGGTCTCCTTGATGGACGCGATCAGGCACGCAGCCTCAGGGGCTGCTGTCAGGGCCCTGATCACGCCATAGCTGTCTCCCACCCAAAGGCTTCGAAGTTGTCAGTAACGTCCTCAGTGTTGATGTCCACCCCATAGCACATGCCGCCCTGGGCATGCTGAGCCTGTAGTTTGTTCAGGATGTTTGTGGCATCAAAGCCAGCATTGTCACATAGCTGGCATGGGATAATCTCCGAGGCCTTGGCACATGCCCTGATCCGTAGCTGCTGTTTTCCTGGGATAGTCCTTGAGTAATCCCCAAGGTGCTTAGAGAGCTCCATCTCGATGGCTCACACCAGCCACCGCTGAGTCATGCCTGACGGCCCTCCTGACAGTCCTGATGGCGTCATGCGGAGCTGCTCTGTCTCCTCCAGGAACTGCTCAGCTCTGCCACGGAGGACGAAGGTGCAAGTCTTGGCCTTGGGGCAGCCAGTGAAGAAACTGCACCTTTCCCCTCCCATCTGGGGCTCTCCACGCAGCCGGCTGCAGCTGCTAGAGCTTTCACGCTGGCCCGGGCACAGCCTCTGCAGGCGTCATTGTCTTCAAAACCTCCTCAGGCACTCGGTGGCACAGAAGATGTCCCCATCTGCGAAGTACTGGGTGGCCACATCCCCAACAGGGAGTTTGGACAAAACAACTTTGGCTCCAGAATCATAAACAGTGTTCCACTCAGCATCAGCGATTGCCCCATGATCCCCTACTGTGTGGACTCTGATTTCAGTATCGTCTTTCTCAGCTTCCAGCTCGAGTTCAACGCTTAATAAGGCGATCGTGAGCTTAGTGTGCTTTTTAGGTTGCATTTCAAATCCCTCTTAAGAGAAAGTCTTCTTGAATGTAACACCAGCCGCCAACCGAGACTCCTCCAGGGCTCCACGCTGCACCTTCTTGCTTCCAGGCATCTTAAGCTGCAGCAAATCATCCAGTGTCATCACAGCATCAAGCACCGTCTTAGCAAGGAAGGCTTTCTGCTGGGAGACCGGCTGGGTGCTCAGGGCCATCACGGCACTGCCCCAGCAGCTTGCTCCGTCCACTTTATCTTGCTTCTTCACCGTCACAGCAATGTCCTTGAT